CAGGTGGCAAGCAGCCTCTAGTTTACAATGACTATGCTTGCCCCAACAAAAGCCTAGTCTACATCGTCTTAATGCTCCCCATGAAAATAAAAACATTGTGAACCTCCTAAGACACCATCAGAGACACGCTTTAGGATTTTATCCAACACATTAGAAAAATAATTCCTCATAAAATCCGCTTTAGTAAAGAGTTGGCATGGGAAAGGGACATAGTGAGAATTCTTCCAGGGGTCAGATTGCAAGAAACATGCCGCTCTCGGCACCTGAAAGGATTTCTCTGTAATGAAGACTGAGTTCTTTGGGGAAACTTAAGCCGGGTGGGCTGTTTGCTGAGTGGGTGTCAGTCCTCAGGCAGGAACAGGACAGCGTGTCCCAGCCTACCCCAGGCTGCCAGTGAGCTGACACATGCCCTGAATTTGTGTTCCGTGGAGCAATGAATGTTCTCCCTGTGCAGAGCATGCAAACTCAAGCCATGTGCACACCATCCACGCGCACACGCCACACAGCTGCCAGCTGATCAGAGGCTCCAAAGGTTTCTCCCCTGAGGTGCTGGCTCCTAGACTTAACTCATTTGACCCTTATACACACAAAACTCTGCAAGGAATTATAAACCTAATTTTATAGACTGGAAGAAGGAGGTTCAGAGAGCCAACTGCTTAATTTACATAGCTAGAAGAGGTGGAGCTGAGATTTAGCCTAGGTCCTTCTGACTTCAAGGACACATCTGTCCTTGGCAGATTTGCCTAAGGCAAACTTACTTTTCAAGACAGAAAGCAAAGCCAAGAATCAGAGAATCTTAGAGCTGTGATTCTCAGTCCACCATGGGAAGCAGTTCCTCTGTCCCACCTGACACATGGTCGTCTGGCCTCTGCTGGATCACCTGCCCTGACAGGGGCTCACCATCTGCTCCAGTTATAAGAAGTTCTTTGTTCCACTGACATAGAGAATGCCAGCTTCCCCTGAGTGCCTAAACTGGCATAAATATTTCGTCCCTTACTACATTGCATTTTAGATACACTAGAGGATATTCTAAAGGATACCAGCTCCCTTTTGTGATGGTAATCGCTGTTCCAAATTCATGTGGCTTGTGAGTTTAGATTTTCACAAGGCAAATGTTCTTAAAGCATGTATCTATTTCACATGGGTATTCACAGATCCTATCACATGGTGCCAGGGCTTGATGAGTCACACCTCTGCCCACCACCCCCCTTCCTGCCCACCAGTCCAGCTCTCCTCTGCTATTCTACAGAATAACATGAAACCTCCTCTGACACTTCCCTCACCCTCACCTGCTCACCTGGACACAAAGAGTTGCTTTCAGGCAACAAACCAGAACACATAGCAGTGGTAGGGTGGGGCGGCTCAGAGTGCCCAGCTGAGCCCTGTTCAAAGTGGAGAACCGGCACTGATGTAGTTACTGTCTAGGGAGACTGCAAAAGAGAGGCCCCCAAAGACAGACTGAGGAGTTGCAGCTGCAGAGGAAGCCCCTGACAAACCAACCACGTGAACTCAACAACAGGTTCCCTTGATGAAAAGTCAGCCGCTCAGCAGCCTAGAGATTTAGTATTCTCTAAGATCATAAGAACAGCAAAGCCAGATGGGTTCTGGGGGTGTCGCTTCCAAACTACCATGGGTCCTTTCTGACTTGACATTGTGTCTACCACATAGTAGATATATATTAATAGCAAATATTTTAATAAATAAAAGCACACACGTCAAACACAAATATCTCACTCACAGATTTGGAAAAAACATCTCAAACAACACGCATCAATACCTAAATTGTTTCCCCTAAAGCAGCAGAGTCTCTCCCCAGACCGTTCCTATTCCTTCTCAGGCTGAATTCTCCCCTTTCAGGATATTCTGGTAAGGAAATCGAACCACAAGGGTGGGAAGCAAACCATAAGTCCTCAGGCCAGCTACTAAACAAGCCTGACCACCAGAGAAGCTGGATCTGGGTGAGATTGCTTGGGGCATTCTAAGGCCATTGTGGCCTACCCTTGGTGGCCATAGGCATGGAATATCCATACCCAGATGTCTGAAAGGCACCTCCAGTGCAGCGTGTTCAAATTCAGATCAGATCTTCCTATTCAAACCTGGTCACCTTCTACTTTTTTTACTTTTAGCTTAGTGAATGGCAGGGCCATTTCCACTCATGTACCCAGAAACCTGGGGCTTGTGCTTCACATCTTACCTTTCCTCACAGCTCCATTCAATCCACCATTAAGTCCTGCTAATTTTACCTGCTAAGTATCTCAAATCACGTTGTCCTTTTTATCTCCACTGTTACTTCTCTAGTTCTATCCAGCATGATTTCTTGCTGGGACCATTGCAAAAGCCTCCTTAACTGGTTTTGCCACACCCACTTTTGCACCCTCCATCCATTCTCAAAGTCATTGTTGGAAAGATCTTTTGTAAATGTCGAATTGAGCACAGTGCCCTTCCCATGCGTAACATACACATAACCACCTCTGCTTCAAATCCTTCTGTGATTCCTATGAGCTTAGAATAAAGAGAAAAAAGATTCTTCACATGGCCTGCAAGGCCCTAATCTCCTCCTCCAGCCTTTTCTCTGTACTCAAATCATATTGACCTTCTAACTTCTTTGAAAGCGCTAAGCTGCCTCTCACCATAAGGGCCACATTTGTCCATATGCCTAGAAAGCTTTCTCCCCACCCTACCCACTGCTTTCATCTAATTATAACTCCTAGTGATCCTTCAGATCTCAGCTCAGATGTCAATTCCTCAGCAAAGCTATCCTTGATCATGGGAAGTAGGTGAGGACCCCTGTCATACATTCTCAGAGTACCCTGTCCCTTTCTTTCATAGCATTTATCCTAGTCTGTAATCTTACATGACTGGTGCAATTTTTTTTTTTAACAGTGTCTGAGTCCTTCCATAATACTGTAAGCTCCTTGAGGGCAAGGGATCATGTCTGTTTTATCATCATAGGATCTCTAGCTTTTAGCACAGGCCTGAAACATAGTAGGTAGTCAATAAAAATCTGCTGAATGAATAATAAACTGCAGCTATTCACTGAGTTTATTCCAAGCAATCATACCAGGTCCCTTTCTAATACTATTTCTGAGGTTCTCTTGAGTCTCGCTTAGATTAACAGAAACTGTTGATATTTTTGCCACCTCTCCTCATCTCTCTGGTATCCACTACAGTGAACCATCTTCTATAGATGAAGAGACCACAGCATTGTCATCATTACCACAGTTACATTTATTGAGGATTTTCTTACCGTGCATTAGGCGTGGTACCATGCATGTGGTATTCAGTTAATCCTTTCAGTATTATGAGGTATACATTACTAGACCTTTTTTGATAGTAAGAAACAGAAACTCAGAGAGGATTTGCTAAAATATGGTGGGGTCCAAGATTTGAACCTCGGTCAAACTTAAAAGCCTACAGTCTTAATCATAACCTACTGCCCTATAAAATGAGCTAATAATAACCACTAATAGTGATGTCAAAGGACTCAAACACAGTAGGCACTCAGTAAAGGGTGGCTGTTATTTTTGTGGTGCTGGAGGCATTGTGGGCAGTGATAAGCATTTACCATTTTGCCCAGAAGAGAACTAATCTGGCTGCCTTCTAGGACTGAAACAGCTGGACTTGGTTTGAAAGACAGACTTTTATGAAAAGCAGCATGCTGTGGCAGTTCCAACACAGAGTGTGTGAAGAGAAGAGTTGATATGCTAACGAAACCAATGCACAGATTTTTAGCCCTGAGAACCAACCATTTGAAATGAACTTGAGTTTCTCACAGCAAGCCCAGACATCAAGCCTGCATAAGGATCCCCAACCTACAATAGTTCCTTGAATTTCTTTTGTTACTTCTCCTTCTACCTCCTGTAGCTCACAGAAACAGAGAGAACATGCCACACTTAAAGTCAAGAGATTCTAAGTCTGAATTCTGATGTGCCCAGGGTTGAGCAGCTGAGGATCACCAAGATGCCTGGCCCTCAGTCAGAACCTCAGTGTCGCAGGAAGCCAGGAGATGACAATGAACCATATTGTCATCCTCTGTGGCCTGGCTTGAGATTGATCTATTCTTCTGAGTCTTCCTCCCTCCTTTTACTGTTACTCACCACTGGGCATGTAAAGGAAGAAAAGAAGCTGAGATACTTGAGTTCCTACTATATGTCAGGCACTCTACATCCACATTTTCATGTAGTAAGTCAATCCTAACAACAATCTCAAGCAACAGGTGCCATACTCCTTATTTTACAATCAAAGAAACTGTAGTTTAAAGAGATTAAATGACTTGGGAGAAATCACTACACAGTAAGAGAAAGAGTTGAGATTCAAATCCAGTTTTTTTACATTCTAAATTCTGTGCTCTTTCCATTTACCGTTCTGAAGAAATCTATAGTGACTGAGGATGCAGGAAAAATTAAGGACATTACTTGGATGTGTATAGGTGGTATAAAGCCATGAGAGCCCATTCATTCCCTCCTTCCCTTCATTGTGCCCACTGCTCACTGAGTACTACCAGTGTGTGAGACACTGAGCTGGAGGACGGGGATAAAGAGATGGGTAAGATACAGGCCCTCCTCCTCAGAGGTTCACAGTCTAGTGAGAGGAGCACTCTAGGGAAGAGAGGAAAAGAAAACAATGTTCCCACTGAGCAAAAAGAAGGCAAAAGATCCTAAAACATCAGAACCAGAGGGGTTCAAGGAAGACCAACTACTCAAAACTTGGCTATATCACCTGAAATTAATTACCTGGAGGACTATCAGAACTAAAAATTTCTAAGCACCCAATTCCCAGTTCTACTTATTTGGAAGTGAGCCCACGAATGTATACGTTTAACAATTATCCCATGTGATTTGACAGAATAGTCCAGGTGAATAAAACTACTGATCTAGACTCTTTACTTTGTTGGTGTGAGAGCAGAGGGGCAGAAAGGGGAAGTGACTAGCTCAAGGACACACAGGAATCAATACTTCAGACTCAGGCATCCAATTCACAGTTAAATGACCTTTAGTCACTTTTTAAAAATTAGAATAATTTTATTTTTATACATTATATATACATTTATACATTCACATGACATTTTATGTACATGGATTAGGTAGCTCTTGACAATGTTATATGTTTACTGAAAAATGACTTTATAAAAATAAGGCATGGAAAATAACAAATCAATTTAGAAGACTAAAATTATCCATGGACACACAGAATGGATATAGGTTTCCATAATCAAGAACAGTATTTTCACCCTCTCATACCTCTGACCACCTCTTTCCTAGGTAGTCAGTATAGGGCAGAAAATTATAAATTAATCAAGGATAGTGCTTCAAGGTACTGGTTCCCAGACTGTGATGGACATAAAGAAAGAGCAATAGACAAATAAGCATTTTAGTATTTGCTAAAGCCTCGCATCTTCCTCTATCCATAATGGAGATGTCCTGGCCACTGAAAACATGATGGGCCCCCTGTTGCCAACTTCTCTGCAGTGATCTCAATCCCTTTGCCTCACAAGAGCATCAGAAAGGTCCCCTGTCCTTCCAACTTTAGATTCCTTTCATTGGTTACATGTAGAAGACAGACATGGGCCAGAGGTATAGAGAGGCTCTAAGTCAGAGGTGTCCAATCTTTTGGCGTCCCTGGGCCACACTGGAAGAAGAACTGGGCCACACAAAAAGTATACTAACAATGGCTAATGAGCTAAAAAAAAACGAAACAACAACAACAACAAAAAACGACCCCCTCATGTTTTAAGAAAGTTTACAAACTTGTGTTGGGCTGCATTCAAAGCTGTCCTGGGCCACATGCAGGTTGCTGCCCGTGGGTTTGATAAGCTTGCTTTAAGACCATGAGTGTAGGTAGGCCGTTCTATAGGGCCTCTGAGTTCATGGAGCAACTTCTCAGCAGCCATCTCCACCAGGTTCCCTTCTTTTGTTGTTTCACTGTGGTTTGCCTCTGTAACTGTTTGTTCGAGAACTCTGTCAGCAAACTCTACATGCTCTGCTTCAACTTCTTCATGTCCTTTTTGTTTTGGCAGCCTTAGCATAACAAAGTTAAATTTGATTTACCTTCTGGGGCTCAGCTATCAAAGCCTACTCCTTCCTTTTCTACTCTCAGGCCATCAGGCCATGGGCCCTGGGGCTGCTAAGGAAGCCCAGAAGCAGTGGTTAGAGGTATAAGTAGAAGACTCAGTAGAGCTCACTGTTAGAAAAGCCAAGTGCAGAAAGGGTTCCAAACAGGGGCACAGCAGCAGTGCTGAGTGAAGAGGCAGCCTCAGTAGGACTGGGGTGTCTCAAGACTTGGGCTCAGCTGACTGGCCTCTCCATCCTGGCTCTGTTCATTGATATACTAGTCAAGACACACCCTTCTTTTAGCCTCATTTTTCCCATTTGTAAGTGAAGTAATTTAATTAGCTTGTGTCCATGTTTCCCATCCAGATTTTGAAATTTGAGATTTTCATTTTTTTTTTCCTTTGGCATTGGATACAAATGACTAAGATTGATACTGTGACTCATGTTTATAATCCATAACCACAGATTCTGAAATCTTAGAGCTAAAAGAAATTGACCAATACAATTCTCTCTTTTCTACTCATTTGATGAGAAACTAACGTCCAGAGAGGGCCCACTTCCAGGTCTACAGAATTGGGAATTGGGTGCTTAGAAATTTTTAGTTCTGATAGTCACCAGATGATTAAGTTCTGCAAGGGCAGGAACTATCTGTCTTGTTCTCCATTGCATGCCTGGCCAGATTTTTTTAAATGCTTGTTGAGTGAATGAATGAACAAATAATCTCCCTCTAATGTCATGCAGCCTGGGACCACGGAAGTATCCTTACTCCTTGCCTGGAGGTAGAGGCAGATAAGACTGAAGACACAGACTGCTTCTGGCCCCTAAAGGGATGGTGCTCTCCAGCTGGAGAGCCAAAACGGCACCAGGAACAAATTCTCAAGGTTGGTGGTGCCAGCAGCGCTTGGCCACAAAGTGGGCTTCTACTAGAGTCCTTCGTGCTGTGCATAATGAATCACGATATGTCAATTACTGCATTCTGTTACCAAGCTCATGTCCACCTGTGCATCACCAATGAGTGCCCTGCAATTTGCCACAGCTCTGCAGTTAATACATGGCAGAACAAGTGGGGCAGAGGATTCTGAAACACTCCAGGCCCAGGGAAATCAGGTGGTTGGTTTGTTTTTGGCAACTACTGGGCTTGATGATTGGGCAGCAGTACGTAGAGATGTATTCTCTCCTCTGGGGAAAGGGTCTGTGTCCTGGGTATTCTTTCCTGTCCTGACTCAGATAGGTTCAGATGGAGAAAGCCACCTTTGTATTTTTTTTTCTCTGAAGTATTGAACAAAATGGGGCAGAGGCAGAATGATAATTAAAAAATCACCTCCGGCATGGTTTGATGGTCCGGTCATCTGATCATTGGCACTGAAGTCTCTCACAGGATTCAAAATATGGCTCCACGACACATGAACAGTGTGATCTTGAGTATATCTCTTAATTTCTCTGCAACTCCATCTCCACATCAGCAAAACTGGGATAATAATACTTACCTTGCAGAGATACTGCAAAGATTAAACGAGAGAATGCATATCAAACCCAGAATGGCGGCTGGCATGTAGCAGGTATACAATTAGATGAGCCTCCTACCATGTTAGAGGTGTTTCCTGAAGGGATTCTAATCTCCTGAGGAAGATTAGGGCCAAGACCTTAAGCAAACCCAGACAAGAGCCTCTGTGTCTTAGATGTGTGTGCGTATTACCCCCTAGTGGCTCCACAGTAATGATTACAACTGCAGTCATGTGAGGATGTCAGATCTGCCTTCCTCACCTCCACACTGGCCGTGTGAGAAGTGAGCAGGCCTCCCGGTGACACGGGAGGCTGTTCCTTTCTCAGGCAGCACCGCTGCAGCCCCTGACCTACTTTCTTACTAAAAATAGCTCTTCTTAGGTCACTGCTGCAAATTGAATTCCACTGCTTCACTGCACCCTGTAAGCAGGTGGGTGGGCGCCAGAGCACATTTGGTGAGATGCAAGCCTCTGCTTATGTGGTGCATTGCTGCCCAAGGATGCTAATTCCACATGCCTGAGTAGACGGCAGAGGGTGTCTGCACTCAGCAGGGCTGCGTGTGACCCTGCTGAGGTTCCTTTATTTGGGGGGAGGAGGGACAGGGAGGAGCAGTGAGGGAAATTCTAGATCCAGTTTTGAAGTCTGACAGAACTGAATCGAAACATAGGATCCAAAGTTTTCTTATTTGACCTCGGGAAAGTCACAATTTCTCTTTGCCTTAGTTTTCTCATCTGTAAAATGGAGATGATAAAACTGACCTTAAAATATGATTGTATAGATATTTTAAAATGCTGTTTATAAAGCAGTCCTTGGCACAGAAGAGGAGCCCAATAATGAAGCTAGTACAGGTATTCTCCATTGTATGGCCTGTTGCTCCACATGCGCTCCAGCTGAAGCCTCTCATAGCAGGGGTAGCAAGGGACAGGAGGCCAATCCAAGAACTAGAAAGATTTTAAGCTGAAAGGGCTTTAGCAGTACTGAGGTCAAAGCTGCTCAGACATGGCTGAGCATCCCAGTAACTATTAGCCTGCTAATAATACTGATTCCAGGTCCTTACCCTGGAGACTGGGACTCAAGCAGTCTGTCTAGGGGCCAGGGAATCTGCATGTTAATAAGCTCTCCAGGTGATTCTTATGCACTGCCAAGTTTGAGAACCTCTCAACTAGGCCAGTCATCTTGTTAAAGTAAATGAGTAAATGAATTACTATTATTTTTCTTCCATTATAAGCACAATGTAGGGTCATTATAAAATATGCAGAAAACACGGAAAAGCAAAAAATCAAAATAAAAAAGTAAAAATTCATTCATATATTGAGTGATTATCAACTGCCAGGCACTTTGCTGAGTCCTAGGGATTTGTTGATAACACAGTTCTGACCCTCAAGGAAGGCCCAGTCTATGTGCAGAGATAGAAACAGACAAGAAGACTATAACACAAGACATATGTGTTAGAGTCAAGTTACAAATTATATAGAAAGAAGGATGAAGGAGCACCTGATTCTACCTAGGAAGTCAGGGACATCTGCAGAGCAGGACTAGAAGAAGAGCAGATATTCATGGCTAGACAAGGGAGGGAAGGGCATTTCAGGAGGAATGAACCAGACATATAAAAGCATATAGGGATGAAAGGTATTCGTTAGGAAAATGTCCTAAAGTCACCATAGTGAGGTCACTATATACAGTAAATAGTGGTGGCACAAAGAGAGCTGATGTGAACATCTGGGTCTGGATCATGAAGGGTGTGGATAACATCAACAATGCTTCCTACACTGGGAAGTATATTTCCCAGTATATTTTTCATATATGGCTTTTTGTTTTCATTTTTACATGACCAATGCTGCAATTCTTACTTAATAAACACTACAAATTAGTCAAGCAGAGAGGTCATCTTTTATCCAGTTCCAAATGTTAGTAAAATCAGGTAGCTCTTAATTTTACTAAATTATAAAAAGACTATGATGAACATCTTTAACCATAAAGCTTTTTCCATATTTAAGATCTTTCCTTAGAGGAGAATTCTAGGATATGAATTAATAAATGAAAGTGAATGGACATGTTCAAGGCTCTTGATAATAGCTCCAAAGGATTTTCCAAAAGTGGCCCAGATGGTTTTACAAATAATAATAAGGCCCAAAGAGGTTCCATGTCTTGTGCAGATCATACAGTTGAATGGGGTGCTACCAAGAGCAACATCTGGATCTCCCAACTCCCACTCTAGCTCTCTTTCTTCCGACCACATTGCTTTCCTACAAATCAAAGAGAGATGAAATAATATCTATCCACCCAATGCTTCTAATCAATTCTAAGTATTTTAGGTTAGCAATGTACATGCATAGGAGATGTGAGTAACATGTGTGTGTTTATACACATACATGAAGCTGCATATATGAGTCATTTTTCCATCCTTATCATGTATGCTCCCCTACCAATGACAATTTTTGTTCTAGCCAAGCTGAGCAAATCTTACGTTGCCTTACCTCCACACCTTTGATCCTACATGAAGTTATCTCTTGTTCTCCTAGTCAAATTCTATGCATATTTTTAAAATCCAAAAAGCATTTCCTGACTCTGGGCACTTATTATCAACAACAGTCATATGTGACACTTTCTTTATTGCTTTGCAGCAGCTCTGGTATTGATATAAAATTATTTAAGTTTTACCTATAGAATAAAAGCTGTCTCTGGCTTCTGTCATTAGAAAGGGATAAAACAACCTCCAACCCCACCCTCGAGGCTAATGAGAAGACTTCTGGTGTTTGATGGGCTGAAGACAGGTCAGGCCAATCCCTTGTACCTTGTATATCTACAGTAGTAGACATCTTGGTAGACTGGAAAGAGCACAGGACTAGGAGACAGAATAATAAAAGCTTCCATGTGCTGAGGACCTACTCCAACCAGGCATAATGTTGGTTGCTTTATATATATATTACTTAGAATCCTTAAAATTACCCCCAGCAAGGGAAACATTATTAGACCCATTTTACAGATGAGGAATCTTAGGACCTGACAGATTAATTTATTCACAGTCAATACCGTCAGTAAGTGGCAAAATCAGGATTTAAACTCAAGTATGTGTGACTCAAAAATCTGTTTCTTTCTGCTTTACTATATTATGCCTCAGCAAATGTCATTTCAGTTCATTTCATGTATCTTTCAAGATACATGATCTTCTCCTGGTCTTTTATTCTGTTGCTATAACCGAATACCACAGGCTGGATAATTTATAAAGAAGTTGATTTGGCTCACAGTTCTGGGAGCTGGAAAGTCCAAGAGCATGGTGCTGGTATCTAGTTAGGGTCATCCCAGAGTAGACAGGTGGAAGGAGAAGAGAGCACATGCAAGAGAGAGCTTGCATTTTTAACAAAGCCACTCCAGCAATAACTAACCTACTCCTGCAATAATGACATAAATCCATTCATTCATAAGGGTGGAGCCCCCATGACCCAATCACCTTCCGAAGGCCCCACCTCCCAGCACTGTTACACTGGGGACCAAGTTTCTAACACAGGAACTTTTCAGGAGCATATTCAAACCATAGCAGATGCCTAAAAGGACATTCATGCTCTCCAAATCCTAGCCTCCTCACTAATAACATGGGGATAATCATCTTCCTATCCTGCCCTTTACTCCTAACACACACATACACATACAGGACTGTTGCAATAATTAAATGTTATAATGGGCATAAAAGACCCAGACAGACATATGGGTTGTTATTAGAGTCCTGAACATCACAACTGATCATTCTGGTGATAAATGGACATCCTGCCAAGATCCTCTGTCACCTAAAGAGAATTTAATTATGCTAGACAGCTCCTTCTAGCACCAGAGAGTGAATGGTTGCAATGCATTTCATAATGACTTTCAATAAGGCCTGAAACCAAGAGGTTAATACTCTGAGAAAAATCCATTAACCAAAATACTGCATTCTTGGAGTACTCTGGTAATCATGGCTCCCTGGGATATTTTCCCACTCTATCACATATATGTATGCATTTCTATATACACTTGCATACATCTTTCACTGGCAGCCTATTTCTAGAAAGCAGGATTCAGCAGAAGGGAAGCTGGGCTTGGATTCCACCACCAGGGGGGCAACTGTAAATGGGCTGGGGTGCATTTATTCCAGTTTTCCAGAGGCTTCTGGTGAAATGTTAGGAGACTTGGCTGAGGTGTCAGGAGACCTGGGCTGTAGTTCACATTCTGCTGCTTACTCACTGTATAACATTGGACAACATGCTTGACTCAGCCTCGATGTCCTTTCATATAAAATAGGGATGATACCTACCTTAGATAAATTAGCTATCCTCCCTGCGGCAGTATTTCCTCTGCTGTGAAACTGTCACAATTACTATGTATATATCTGTACTGTGTGCTGGCCCTGTGCTGAGGGCTTTGCAAGCATTCTTTCACTCCTTCTTACAGTCCTGTGAGATGGGTACTATTATCTCCAGCTGACAGAAGAGGAAACCTATGCTCAGAGGAGTTCAATAATTTGTACCAGGTCATATAACTGTTAAGTCACAGAGTTAGGATTCAAACCTTGGTCTCTTTGATTTGAAATCCAGTGCCATTAACCATGAAACCATATTCCTACTTACCAGAGAGCTGTTGCAAGGAAAAAATGAACAAACATTAATTATTATGTGTCTCCTGTGTATCTAGTTGTTTGCATCCCTCTTCTGTAAGACACACGAGTACAAGGATGCTCTACAGAGCCCATGCACATGAGGCTGCTCTGTGACTGTGGGGTCCTGTGTGGGGATATGTGCATTTTGAGAAGGGAAGGGAGAGACAGGACCTGGTAGAAAAGTATTTACTGCTGTGCTCCCCGAAGTCATGAAGTCAGCCATACTAGAAACATGGATGAGGGTTATGGATGAAATTTCTCCAAAGTTTTAAAAGTTGGAGAGTTGAAGGCTGGCGTGGCAGTGACAGAATCTTGCTGAAGACTAGAGTAAAACACTTGCATTCATGCATTATCGCAGATTTTCAA